AAAAAAAAAAACAGTATAGGTAATTACTAAGGGCCCTACATTAATCCAAGCCCAAGCTCAACTATCGCCCAGCCCAAGGCTTAGATCCGAGACCCAAACCCTCAACCCCACACCCCAAGTCCTGAGACTTAAGCCGTATCCTCGGAGGTCCGGATGCTAGACATTTTTTCTATATATATATATAGATATATATATATACACATACACATAAGCTTGCTTTCTAAGTAGGCACGTACATGTGTGTAACATAAATAAACAAATAAATAAATAAATAAATAACTCTATATATATATATATATATTATGATTTACGCAGAAGCCCTCCACAAGTGAGGCCGGTTTGCGAGCTCTCCCCAGACTCTCTTAGCTGGTGCTGGGCTTCAGTGGCTCAGGTTTCAGGTGTTTGCACGGTCAGGGGCTTCAGGTTTAGGGCTTAACACCCTACACCCTAAACCCCTAACCCCTAAACGCTGAACCCTAAGCCCTAGACGGATTTAGTTCTTTCTTCTTCAAGGCTGAGGGCATAACTAGGGCTCGTGTAGGAGTTACAACGCCTGAATCCTTGGGTTCGTAGGTCCTGCGGGGTTTGGTGCTTAGGGTTTAGGGGTTTAGGGTTTATGGTCGTTTCATGTTTGTTTTCCGACAGAAGCTTTGGTTTTGCTGTTCCAGGTGTGCACGGTGCGGTTAAGGATTTGCGGCATGGGTGGTTTCGAAGTACTGAAAAAACTTGTCGCCAAAGGTTGAAATCTAGAGTTCCCCTTACTAAGAAGAATGGAAAGGCGGGGTTCAGGTTTCCTGAGCGTCCGAAGGACCCCACCAGTTTTCAGGTACTCGGGTTTGGAAAAGCTGTGAGGTAGCCCACTATATGGAGAGAGTACATGATTATTGGGCGCTTGGACTTGGACGCCTACTGTAGATCTGGTTTGGAGCCTTGTGGTTCGGCTCTCTACTAAAACCCTAAACCCTACCTATAGTCTCCATTGTAGTTCCTTTTGGGGGGTTACCTTATAGGATCCTTAATATAGAACTGGTAAAACCCAAACAAGGAACTACACTGGAGACTATAGGTATACCGTATAAACCCCAAGCAGCTGCCACATCAGCGCCATGCCTGGCACAGTTTCGGAGTGTCGGAGAGTCCGCGCAGCAGCTTTTTCCAAAGGCCGCTTCAGCTGAATCGTGCGTCATGAAGCCTAGCCCCCAAGCTACGTAAACCTCAACCCTACCCAGAGGCTCATGCCATACCCCTTTTTTCAGGGTACCTAGTTCTTTAGTTTGGATCTGCTATATATAATATAGAAAAGTAGATACCCTAAACAAGGGGTTATGGTATAAGCCTCTAGTTACACCCTGCACCCCAAAACCTGAAGTATGGCTCAAGGGCTTCGCTGCACGATGACTAAGTAGGCTTCAAACATGATGAGTTCGGATTTTTAGGATTTTAGGATTGAGAATTGCCAATGATAATGAGAACCCCCCCAAATCATCTCTAGCGTAGTGTGCCGGTTGGGGCGTCTTGCACATCGTACTATCAGTCGCTGTTTCTGAGCTGTCCTTATCCCTTTGGCGTTGCAGGGTCAGGGCTTCCGAGGTTCTGGGCCTGCTTCACTGCGACCTTATCCACCCGAACGGGCAATCCGCCTGAAACGGCCTTCTTGGAAGCTCTAGTGACTCTAGTAGTTCTAGATCACGCCGCCGCAGCATCCGACTCTGCTGTCATTGGTTTTGTCGTCGATCATGCTATGTTTGGGCACCGCCGCGATTGCCTACGCGTGTTGCTACTACATATTTGTGCTTGCATATGACTACCGCAGCCTCAAATGCAAAGCCCTGGTTTAATCTAAACCTTACTCCCCAGCTATATGGGTGGTTGTCAAAATTATGGTCCCTTTTGGGTCCTTATTCTAGTACGGCACCTACTATTTAGGGTACCCCATTAAAGGGACCATAATTTCGACAACTACCCATATATTTGGCAGCCAGAGCTGCGGCTGAAACAATGTACGTCCGTCGCTTCTTGACACGAGGCGAGGCGTGGTGCGCTTTACTACATCTGGAACCCCAATTTGGGAGTTTCAGAAAATAAGGGGTACTGTGTTTGGGGTCCTTATAGTAAGGATCCTACTATTTGGGGTAATATATTAGAGTCCCCTATTTTCGGAAACCCCCACTTCTCACTGTCAGTATGCACCACCAGTTCAGTGGCACCACCCTCCGTGCAAGAAGTTCTGAGAAAAAGTTGTTGGGCAGACTATCGTGTCGCAGGGATGGCCAATAAATCGGGATGCTTGCCTTCTGCGGGATCCTTAATGTCAGCATTCATATTCATGTAAGGGCTCCCTTGATTTCAGGAAGTCTCGAATCTTACATGTGCCCCCCGAACCCAAACCGCCAAGCCCTAAATCCCTGTACAGGATCCTCTATCCCGCGTCCCGGAGCTTACTTCAAGGACCCGCGGGCCCACCAAGACGTGGAGTGCCTTCAAGGTTTAGGGTTTCGGGTTTAGGATATCCCTTGTTAAACGGAACTGCTTGGCACAAACGTCCTCCCCACAAAACCACTCCGGTGCGTGCCCAAGATTTGCAAGCCATGACACCGTTTTGGGAGTTCAAGCTGGGGGTTCTAGGGCTAAGAGCTTGCATATTCATAGGTTTACGTTGTATGACTTAAAGACCTAGGGAAAATACATAATAAATCTCTTTGAAAAAGATTTTTTGGATGTTTTGGGACTTGCTGAGTCAAGCCTGAGGTATCCGCAGAAATTCACTACATGGGACCGCGACCAGGACTGGGCTTTGCACACCCCAAGCCCTAAATCCTAAACCTCCCTAGATTAAACCTACAAGCCTATAGTAGACCCCATAAAAAACAAACCCTACAAACACCCTGAAAACCCTAAGACTGACGCGTATGCTGCTGAAAGCGCGCCAGCTCCGGATTTTGGGATAAACTGCTAAAGCCTAAACCGTTGATAAACTGTCTGAGTTTGAGTTCATTTCGGCTTCTAGGGGCCGTTTCCCCAACCCAAAGGGTCCAAAGTACCTGTATTCCCAAAGGGTCCAAAGTACCCATATAGGCTCCTCTGAGGGTTTAGGGTTTGAGGGCTCCTTTAAGGGTTCCTAAGTACCTATATGGTAGAACCTAGGGTTTCTATACTAGGGGTCCGTGTTATGATTTTTGAAAACATCCATCATAACAGTACCTAGGACACGGGTCAGGGTTCATGTGCACGTGCAACATATATGCCTCCCAGAGGCTGTACCCAAACAGTATGTACTTTGGCCCCAAAGTACCTATATAGGGACTACTTTAAGGGCAAAGTATATACTATTCCGGCACATGGACCCCTAGGGCCTTCGACGATGAAGTACCTATTTACGATCCGGCCTCGCTAGATACTCTGTAGGTAATATGGGGGCCTTTATCATTAGAATAGGGTTTTGGGGTTTATTACACCATAATTATAATAAAGAGCCCCCAAAACCTTATTCTCATTATCAAGGCCCCTACATTACATGGATGCTATGGGTCACCTTCTTTCAAAAAGGAAATTTGGTAGCCGACAGACATTGGAAGTCCCTTGGGGTCAAGAAGCACAGAGCTTCACAACATCCCAGACATCTAAGGGTTTAGGGTTTAGGGTTTAGGGTTTAGGGTTTAGGGTTTAGGGTTTAGGGTTTAGTGTTTCCCAAATCGTAAACCACCTCCTACACCTAAGTTCATGGACCCAAAGCCCCAAAAACCTAAAGCCCTAAACCCTAAACCCTAAATCCCTAAACTCTAAGATATCCTTAGACCCTAAGCAATCGCAGGATGAGTGGGGCGCCAACTGCGCCAAAAACCATCGGGGCTTCATGGGTGGCTGGTGGTACAGGAGCGAAGTTTCAAGTTGTCGGAAGTTTGGCAGGGTTTCAGAACCCGGAGTTTTCCGGATTGTGTCATGGTTCCGGATCCATATCAGGGGCTTGGGCATCGGGCTCGAGGTCTTGCGAAGCCCCCTCAGTGACTGCTATCAATTACTGGGTTCTTGTTAAGGGATTTAATTTAAATTACGATAATAGGGATCTATAGTAAATAATATGGTTTCCTTATTATGGTAACTTAAATTAAATCCCTTAACAAGAACCCTGCTTAGTGAGATGGGCCGCTCAGAGAAAGGCCCATGGTTGAGTTGAGGATTCTCCAACTTGACAGGTCCTGGAACCACTGGCAGGGACAATCCTCAAGAGCGACAGGCAGACGGTGGACGAGGGGCCACGACCAAAAAACGCAACCAAACGCAAGCCTGGTTGCAACCCTAGCAGAACTTAGACCCTCTCAGCGCCTACGCACCCTACACACATCCCTACGCGCCATTTCGAGCCATTTCGGAGCTGCGTGCGGAGGCGCTGTTGGCAGACGAGTATGTACCACTCCAACGGCCGGTTGTTCCTGGGCTCTCCTTAGGAATCGTAAGTGTTTTGGTTTAAGGGCTTTTGGTTTAGGGGTATGGCTTTATGAGGGTTGCTATAGTTAAGGCTTACTATGTGTCCCCTTGAGAACCATGCCTCATTTGGGTTGTAATATATGCCCGAGGATTATTCATGAAAGTACATGGCTTAGGATGCTGGAATCTAGAAGATTCAGTGCTTCAGAGTCGATCTGAGTTTGGAACATCGCAACGTCAACCCCTGAATCGTAGACCTTCAACCTCTCAACCTAGACCGAAACCTCTCAACCTTCAACTCAAACCCTCCCTAAACCCTATAAGCCCTAAACCCTAGACTCTAAACCCTAAACCGTAACCGAAGCCTTGAAGCTCAAGAGGGCTCAAAGAGGTTCATGACCGAGTCTTGAAGCAGAGCACTCCCGGAGAGAGTTTATGCCGTTGGCGGAAAGAAGGCATCTATTCAGGCTTTGGGATGTAAGTCCGGAGTTTTAGGCACAGTGTTTGCAGTTTAGGGTCCTAGTTTAAATTCCCGAAGGGTCCAAGGTGCCTCACCGTTAGGTATTCGGATTTAGGATCGCGCAGACTGCAAAGGCAGTGTCGAGGGGAGAAGAAGAGCATGGAGTGTCATCCTTTCAAGGGTTTTCAGAAAAAAGCGACGTACTGCTTTGGAATCCAAGAGAGGAGTAGATAGTTACACCTGCCTGTGATCTGTGGGAATCTCTTTGGCTGCACCGGCCCGTGACCTCGTTACAAAGGGTTTAGGGTTTAGGGTTTAGGGTTTAGAATCCGGCTAGGGCCAGGGTTCGGGTGTCCACATCGCCCTAAAGCGTAGGGCTCAGGGATTCGGATGTGGGTTCAGGGTTCAGGGGCTGGTTAGCAGCAAAATCGCCAGCTTGGTTGTGCTACGAATCCTGCCGCGGCTGTTGGCTGTTGTTTCCGCCTCTTCCGAGGTACTCCTGGAACGAGAATAGTCGACATGCGGTCAAATACCTGCACATCTTCTTTAGGGAAGATGCCTCTCTCCAGACCACCACGACGACCACATTGCACCCTGCGGGCGGGTTTAGGGTTTTGTCTGCGGTGCTTGTGGGGAGATCGTGCCGACTGTGCAGTGATCGTAGCATTGCAAAACCCAGATCCGGACCCCTTAGCCCTACATCCCTGCCCCCCTCTCCTGGAAACGCGCTTGGCCCTAAACCCAACCGATGATGAAGCCTCAAGTTTCATTCGGAAGTCACGCTCTGCGGACGCCGCACGTGTTCATGGGATACAAATTTTTTCTGGGCTCTGAAGAAGGATTCCAAGCTCGATTGCACAGAGATGTTTCTGATCTGCCTAAGCCCACGCTGGCTGTTGACAACTTCATGCAGGTTCAATACGTCAAGAACCGTTAAGGGTTGCATGGCGTTTATATTTGGTCCAGGTCTAAGGGTCTTTTGTGTGATTGTTATAGTGCTGGACGCCTAAACCCTAATCTTTGGTCCTAAACCTTTTCTACCAATTTCTACCTATAAAAGAAGATGACTCGCGACTCGGAAGGTACGTTGCAACTACCACCACGACCACCACAACCACCCTGGGCTATGTGGTGGAGGCACTCCACTGACACCAATCGGCCTCTGTGTAAGACACAGTCAATCAATATATTTGTCACACACTCTCTCTGTCTCTCTGTCTCGGTTTGTCCGTTTCTGTCTCATTCACTCTCCGCCTCTCTCTTGCTCTATAAGCTTTCGCTATCTCTCTCTCTCTCTCTCTCCCGCTCTCTGTGTATAAATGCGTGCTTATAGGTATGTGTATGTGTGTATGTATATATATATATATATGTATGGGGTATCTGTGTATATGTATATATATATATATACACACACATAGTATGCAGATGTATGCACCTACACATACATATACATACACACATCTACATATATATATATATATGTATAGACCTACGCACATTAACGGTCAAGGGCTGCACATGGGCAATTGATCCCCTAAGTGTCCACCCTTAGACCCCAAACGCTCAAGCCTGTAGCACCTTGTCTTGTCCAGCTCTCTTACTGAAAAGGTTTTAGTTTAGATTCAAGGGTGTGGGTTTGTCAGGACCTGGCGATGTGCCAAGATGAGTGCGAGGAGGATGAGGCGTGAAAGCAATTGGCTTAGCAGGTTTCTCGGTTTAGGGTGTTGACAGGACAGGGTTTGTATGCTTCAGTTTCACTCAGAGCTTTGTGATCTGGCTCATGATGTGTATACACCATCAACAAGATTGGAGAATGGGACTCTTCGTGCTTGAGTTTAGTCGTCTGCGGTCGAAGGGGGTTGACAGCCCCCAGGCCGTGAGGCTCAAAACTCTAAGCCTTCAACTGAAAAGCCAAGCCGCCAACCACTGACTGTGATCCGAAATCATTGAACCGAAACGCACGATCAACAGACGACTTAAGAACGTGCTCTGATCTTGCCTTCAAACAGCTTCAGCCGTCAGGATGGGATATATAAGTATACAGCCCTTGGGATAGTAGGTTGTTGGATCCACAGGTAGGGTTTACAGTTTAGCATGTAGGGCCTTTGGGTTTGGTTTATGTATCGCGATGTCACGGAGGTTTGGATTAGAGGTTGGGGAATGGGGGTTTGCCGATTTTTGGAGCGGTGCAGGGTTTCGAGTCTAGCATGTTCAGACTCAGCGGGTGTTCAGTGCGGAGTCTGTGGAGCCTCGAGCGAAGCCTGGGGTGTATGTCACAAGCTTTGAGATGTAATTACTCTTGCACACAAGTAGGTCTCTGGATGGCGTTTCTGTCGTTGGGTTTCGCCAGGATCTGTAGCTGCAGCTGTACTTCGGGGTGGTTCTTTTTGCGTGGCTCTAAAAAGCACACAGCTCAGGTAAGGTCGGAATGTCTTATTCTGTGGTCGCTGGCACTTCGGTCCGTAGAGTGTAAGAGGTATACGACACTAACAGGGTGAATCCCAAACTCGCCGAATTTGGTCAAGTCAGCCTAATCCATGCCTGCCAGGACTGCGCCGCTATGTCTTTCAATGAGAGCCTCTGCAGCATCAAGATTTGGGAGCCCTTAACCCCAAACCCTCTTTGACTTTCGCCCAGAGGTGTTGTTTGCTATGGTCTCCATTGTAGTTCCTTTTGTTGGCTTAGCTAGCTTTATTGCGAGGATTGCGGTCCTATAAGAGTCCCATAACGTAACCCAAACCAGGAACTACAATTGTGGGTTACCTTGCAAGGATCTTGACTATAAAACTGGCTAGACCCCAAAAAGGAAGCACAATGAGACTGCAGGTTCATGCAAAGACGCCTGCCTAGTTTTCTGCCCCGTGCCTCCCCACCACCCAAACGCAAATCCACATCTCTATACCATTCTATACCTCCAAGCCCAAAATCCTCAACCTCTAAGCTTACAAAGAGCACCTACTTTAGGGTCTAACATACTTTGGGCTGTTTGGGGCCCCAGGGAAACTCTGTGAGTGTCCTTCCACTCGACAACTCGAAGACCCTAAACGAGCTTTGAAACCTCGATCTTGCGACCGAGGCGGACGAAAGAATGCCACATGTTCGGCGACATCGAAATGGGATACGGTAACTACATTGACGAGGATGATGCCACTTGCTTCTTCTGGGGACTAAGAGTTTGGTGGGTTGCAGGGCATGCTTCGGCCTAGGATGTAGGGCTGAAGTTGTCAGGTATCCATCTCATGATGTCAGACGGCGGATATGTTGACTTTAAACCTATCACTTGCATAGTTTTGTCCTGATATACCATGCTTACTCTGCCATAGCAGCCTCGAGCAGTGATGGACGCTCAGGCGAGCGCCTTGATGCGAAGGTTTTTCAGTCGTCCACAACACCCGTCGTGGTCCTCGTCGCCGTCGGCATCGTTGTGGTCGTCGTCGTAGTAGTA